AAGCTGAATGTTTTAATCACATACTATTAGTATATGAACTGCGTTGGATAGAAATCAACCTAAATTAATGCAAGTGCACCTATAATTAAAAAGACTTTGATTCTTGAACATTGCAATACATATTTAAAGATGAATTTTGGTCTGATTTGTAGGGTTGTAATATCAATTTTCAAACAGTTACACACTTTGCATATAGAGTGATTTTTACAACTCGAAAGAAAACAGATGTATTGATATTCATTTGCATTTATATATAAGGTTGATTTCTATCCACACAGCTCATATATAGAAATCAAAAATCAAAATTAGTGTTTGTCAAACTGCTATATATCCATTGAAATTATTCCTATAAATTGTGTGGTTCAGATTACTTGAATTTTTTCATATTTTTGTCAACAGGTCGAAATAAATATTTTGTCAAAATTTTATGAAAACTAAACAAGCCAAATCTATTTCCGGCAAAGTGTTGGGTACCCCTTAAGAGATATTTATTGAAGGACCTAGGACTAATATATTGACCTGTGATATAAGTCCCTGAGGAAGGACACACATATATACTTTCATTTATAAAGTAATTTTTGTTCAGAATTATTGCATTGATACCCATCTTTGACATCTATATCCCATCTTCCTATAAAAAACATTGATCAAATCTTTGACATTGTTGGAAGCACTGCTTCATTGATACTGCAGTGAATATCTCAGAAAATGCTAATTCATGAAATTATTTTGCAAATGTCAGCTATTGATATATAGAACAGTAAAATACACATAAAACAATGTAATACAGTATTTATGAGTATTTTATTGATAATTACACCTATTCTTTTGTGATATACTTCAAAAGAAATATTTATTGTGAGAAAAACAACATTTTTATGTTTTGAATATAGGTTACCATTAGGAGAATTGTCTATATGCCATTCATGGAGTATAGAATATATATAATTTATTATAATGAATGAGTTTTATACAATTTTTTGGCAGCATTTATATTAGATCATTAGTTGCTGTCTGTCATATCTGTTTTTCATTGATGTTTTTGTCCAATATTAGGTCATTGGTTTTTTACTGGTTTGAATTGTTTTATAGTTTTAGGCCAATTGCAAATACCGGTAACCTTGGCCATGATCATCAGTTGGCCTGGCAAAATGTTTGTAATGCATTGCCTATAGAAAAGCCACAGTGATTAAGCAAAAGTTAAAACTAGGTATTATTCTTGGAAAAATATTACAGTCTAGATGTTTTTGTGGAGGATTGCTTGTTTGAATGCAGGCAGTCATGGCTACAACCCTCAGCCAGGTCATTCATGACTTTGAAATAGATAGCATTTGCTGCTTATTCATTAAGCATGCAGCATAAAAGATTTAGAGCAAAAACTGGCCGGCTAGATTTCTGATAAAAGAGAGGCGAAAGATACCAAAGGGATATTCAAACTCATAAGTTGAAAATAAACTGACAACACCATGGCAAAAAAAGAAAAATTAGACTAAAAGACAACAGCATACAAAACACTGATGAGGTGACAAATTTGGTTTCAGTTGACTGTTACCTTGTGAACTATTATTAAAAAAATATCCAGCTCTATATGTGTTAGTGACAAGTACTGTAAATTCAGAAATTATTGCGATGTTTTTATTATTGCGAAAAATGCGACAGGGTTATAATCGCAATAATTTTAACTTGCATTTTGAAATTTTTTATATGAATTAAACAGGATTTTTCTTAATATCACAAAAATTAAAATCCCATTTTAGTCTAAAATGACAAAATCGCAATAATAAATGCACGCAATAATTTCTGAATTGACAGTACATTAAGGATGTTTGCTACTCTGTTTCAAAATAACAAGCTTTTTAAAAGACTGTTATAAATTGATAGTATATAGATAAAGGAACTAAAAAAGCAGAAAAAGATGAAGGGTCCGTGTGCTTGTTTTCGAGATATAAGCCTTTGAAAATTTGGCCGGAAACGATTCTCTCTAGATTTTTCATATATTTAACATTGGCACCTTTTTTTCTTTCAAAAACAATGAAAAAATAATAAGGATTTTATAAGATTTTCAAATATGGCTTTTTAAACTAAATGTAATCAAATTTTGAAAAGAAAAGTAGGGGTTAGTGGACAAAATTATTTAATGGCCAAACATGGATAAAACAAGAGGATTCCGAAAATCTGTCAAAATTCAAAAACAAGAGGAGCTAACATCCTTACTCACAATGTATATTGATGCACAAATATAACATTTGTTTCCTATTCCTTTTGTGGTATTTCCAGATAAACTTTAGTTGAAATGCACTAGAAATTAACAATTAAGGAACCCTAATCCTTAATTTGCTATCGTTCTAACCAAAACTTATCTAGAGATTTCTTTGAATTACCAAACACACAGTAACGAAAGACCTACCATTTCTAACTCAGGATGAGGGTAACTCCAAAATAGTATGGTTATGTGTGCTATTTTTTTCAGCCATTTTTTTAATTCTTCTAAATTGCCTGATTCTTACAAAGACGTGGCACTTTGAAATGTATATATTGTATAGACACTTGTCTATTGTTGAAGACTGTGTATATTGACCTACATTTCTCTATTGGTTATTTGTGTTCTTGGGTTGCTGTCACCTTGACATTATATAAGCCCACATCTCTAAATACACATATTGTAAATTCACTTGGGTTGCTGTCTCCTTGACATTATATACACCCAAATCTCCAATTACACACTCTAAATTCAGTAATGTTTTTATTAATGGGAAAATTGTAAATAGGATGATCAATGCAATGATTTAAACAGTGACATTTAACTACATCATATGAATTGGAATTACATTAATTAATCTTTCATTTATCATACTGTTGTTTGTCAAAAGATCGGCAATACTGAAAGCATGCAGTCATTGGATTTGTTTGTCAAAAGATTGGCAATACTGAGTGCATGCAGTCATTAGATTTGTTTGTCAAAAGATTGGTAATACTGAATGCATGCAGTCATTGGACTTGTTTGTCAAAAGATTGGTAATACTGAATGCATGCAGTAGCCTGTTGTTCAGTGGTTGTCGTTTGTTTGTGTGGTTCATAAGTGTTTCTCGTTTTTTATTTAGATTAGACTGTTGGTTTTCCTGTTTGAATTGTTTTACACTAGTCTATTTGGGGCCCTTTATAGCTTGCTGTTCAGTGTGAGCCAAGGCTCTGTGTTGAAAGACGTACTTTGACCTATAATTGTTTACTTTTTACACATTATGACTTGGATAGATAGTTGTCTCATTGGCAATCATACCACATCTTCTTATATATGGTCATTGGACTGTTGTTTGTCAAAAGATTGGCAATACTAAATGCATGTATCTCTTTGATTTTTATGATGCTTTGCTTATATGCAGAACTTGTTGCACTAACATGAAATGGATTATGCAATACAATACATTACCAACACAATACCAATACAATACCAATACCTGAATACCAATACAATACAATATCAATACCAATGCCTGAATACAATACAATACAATACAATACAATACAATACAATACAATACAATACAATACAATACAATACAATACAATACAATACAATACAATACAATACAATACAATATAATACAATACAATACAATACAATACAATACAATACAATGCAATACAATACAATACAATACAATACAATACAATTCAATTCAATTCAATTACAATTACAATTACAATTACAATACAATAACAACACAATGCAATACAATACAATACAATACAATACAATTCTTACAATTACAATTACAATTCAATACAAAACAGAAATGCATTTATTATTGTGATATTTGAAAAACTTCACAAAATTTCTGAAGTTACTTTATTTGTAATTTACATTGCATCAAAAGAAGCAGAGAACAAATTACAACGAAGCAATAAGGGCATCTAGGCCATGACACCAAACATCGCGACAAGCTTAAACTACAAATATGTACTGTCAGTGTTAAGGGCCTAAGTGAATTTTTTACCAGGTTTAATCTTTGGCTTGGACTGTAAAATATGTAAATAGTTTTTTTCTGTCAGAAACATGAATGTTACTCACTGCATTTTTTCAAATGCAAAATTTTAATCATTCCCGCAACAGGATTTTAACTGAAATTGTTTAATTTAAGCAACATTGAGCAGCAACAACATGTTAATTTTCATTATTACCAGCACAAGTTAGACCACTCTGCCAACTTGGAAATAATGCTTTAAACATATTTTTAAAAAGTTATTTGATTATCTTTTAATAACCAGTGTAATTTTTTGTAACATATTGACAGCTTTTGTCTGATATTCTAGATCAATGCTAGAATTCATAATAATTTGGAAAATCAGAAATGCTTGTGAACTGAAGCTAGTTTTTGAACTTGCTTTTTAAAAAAAAACAGATGTATTTAAAAAGAAAACACTTGATTATGTCTGCAAGCTTGTTTTTTGAACTTGCTTTAGAAAAAAATGGTAATGTTTAGAAAAGCGGTTGAGAACTGAAGCTTGTTTTTGAACTTGCTCTAAAAAAAAAAAAACAAATAAAAAACAGATCATGAAATGAGACAGTTTGTCAACCCAAAGTAATTTTAGAACTGCATCTTAAATATACAGAGAAACATTGAAAGATCATATTTTTTGTCAGCCATAGTGTCCTTTCTTTATGACCCTAAGTAGTGGGGAGGAAATTATTACTCCATTAGGATCAATCATGTTCATTTGCTGAATATCTAACTCAACATTTGTGATGAAGCTCATTTATCCAGAATACTTTTGAAAGTAATACAACAGACTGTTAAAAAAAAATTTAATAAATGACAATAATTTGCAATGGTGAGTTATGAATACCCCTGCAATCCCCAAGCCTTTGAGTCAGGGAGACCACCAAATCTATTTTTGCACTTCTCACCGAAATACCAGTATTCTGTAAAACTTTTTTATTTTTTATTTCGAAAGCCTTGTTTGTTTAATTTTCTTTTTAACAATCAACTTATTATTTTCAGGTTGAGTAACTGTGTATATTACAGAATGGTACGATTAAGTATTGCTGTTAAGATGAAAAGAAAGATTTCGGAATCACGTAGGTATTGTGGTTGTATTTTCTTTAATACTACAAGTGTTGAGATGAAATTTGAGTGAATGTCAAAATTTAACTTATACAAAAGTGGATGTCAAATAATGACTTCTATACAATAGTAAATATATCTTCTTTTCTTTTCTAAAACTGGCCGACAGGCATAGTGGGGTTATTATTTACTGTCGTGAGAGGTTCAATAACGAGTTGATCTTACTTAACTATACTTGTGATGAGATCTTTTCTTTTTTTACACAATGGGTTTCTTTTCAGTAGAATGGGAAAATAATTTTTTGTCAGGATATGTCTAATAATAAGGTCATCTTACTTTATTATACTAAATTGTGACATCTTTTCTTTTCTAACACAATGTAATTCTTTTTCTGTAAAATGGGAAAATTATTTTTGTCATGAAAGGTTCAATAACAAGCTATACTTTAGATGAAATCTTTTCTTTTCTTACACAATGTGAAACTTTTGATAGAAGGGAAAATTATTTAATACCATGATCGAGAGGTCCAAAAACAAGTTCATCTTACTTAACTATACATTAGAAAAGAAATCTTTTCTTTTCTATTAGAAATGTAACACAATGCATTTCTTTTGGTAGAATGGGGAAATTATTTACCTTCATAAGAGGTCCAAAAACAAGTTCACCTTACTAAACTATACTTGTGAAGAAATCTTTTCTTTTTTAACACAATGCATGTCTTTTCGATAGAATGGGAAAATTATTTGTTGTCGGGAGAGGTTCATTAACCAGTCATATTTTTCTTGATTGAGCTAGAATTACGTATATCTTTCCTCCTGACGTAAAGAAAATATCCTATCATACTGTTCATAACACTTATAGTGACATAAAGAAACTTGATCTCCCTTAACACGAAAAGGACACAAAAGCCTTTTATTTGAATACAAAATAAACTAGTATTGAATTTTATTCATGAAATGTTAAAGGTCATGTTTTTTTTTTTTAAACAGCCTTGAGTAAGGTAAGGTATAGTGGGTGGTCACACTTGAATGAATGCCACAGGGTGATCTATAAAAAAATTATGTCGCAGTAGTTATAAATTGAAACTTTGCCACCTTGCTTTGGGGACAATTTGGAAAAGTGTCATTAAAGCCATAACCTATTTGCTTTCATAACTTAATTTATTCTAACTGGAAAATGAAAATCAAATGAGTAAATAGTTTGAGTGACTATAAAATTTGGTTTTTAAATCAAAATTCAATAGTGTAGATATGAACAAAACAAAACAACCAGGTCATTGTAGAATTTGAATAAATGTTTTATTTAAAAAAAAAAAAAAGTTTTGAAAAAGTGTTAATTGTTCTAGTAAACTAAAATATAATATTTATTAAAGGGCTTTTGCCAAATGTGCTTTGAAAGCACTGCTTTCATTAAACTTACATTGAGACAATATACAAATTTCTTCATGGTGTGTAGCCATAGTTACTCATTATATGTGAAATTTGTTTTTATTTTCTGAACACCTAAGTGACCTTGTACCCTAGGGTAGTTTAGAACGAATCAAGGAATATGTATTTTCAATTTGCACTAATATTTGGGCCAAATAAGGGCCTTATCTCCCCTACTACTTTATCTGGAGCTGTTTTTTGCATACATTTGTTCCTTTAATGAAAACAAGGAAATGCGGTATGACAACAAGTTGACATTAATCCACTGAAGACGAAAGAATGTAAAAAATAAACATCTTTTAATTAGTTTAAAAAGAGAGGCGAAAGACAGTGGCGGATCCAGAAATTTTCATAAGTGGGGGCCCACTGACTGCCTAAGAGGGGGCCTGCTCCAGTCATGCTCCAGTGATTCCCTATATAATCAACCAAATTTTTCAAACAAAAGGGGGGGCCCTACCCCCCCCCCCCCCCCCCCTAAATCCGCCTCTGAAAGATACCAAAGGGACATTCAAACTCATAAGTCAAAAATAAACGTGACAACACCATGGCTAAAAAAGAAAAAGACCAACAGACAAACAATAGTACACAAAACACAACATAGAAAACTTAAGACTGAGCAACAGGAACCCCCACCAAGAACTGGGGGTGATCTCAGGTGCTCCAGGAGGGTAAGCAGATCCTACTCCTCCATTTAATTGAAGTCTGGAGCTGGCATGTCAGTAACTGCTAGTAGTCCTTTGTTAATTTATGTTGATCATTGTCATTTTGTTTAGATTCTTCTGTTACCTATTCTAACATCGGACTCAGACTTCTTTTAAACTGAGTTTTATTGTGTGTATTGTTGTTTGTTTGTTTATTCTACATTGGCAAGAGGTATAGGGAGGGTTGAGATCTCATAAAACATGATTAACCCAGCCACATTTTTGCACCTGTCCCAAGTCAGGAAACTCTGGCCTTTGTTAGTCTTGTATGTTTTTTTTTTTATTTTGGTTCATTTATATGTTTCGGAGTTTAGTCTGACATCCATTTTCTCTGAACCAGTATACATTTTTGTTTAGGGGCCAGCTAAAACCAGCCTCTGGTTGCGGGATTTTCTCTCTGTGTTGTAGACCCATTGGTGGCCTTGAGCTGGTTTCGGCTCTTTGGTAGAGTTGTTGTCTTTTTGATACATCCCCCGTTTCCAAACTCAATTTTATCTATTCTGATTTTTTTGTTCTTTGGGTTACTGTCTAACTGATTTACATCAAAGATCTCATTTTATTTCCAGGATAGGTAAATAATTTTCTGCTACAAGATCAAGAGATATATGTCAAGTTTGCAAAGTAAATTAGTTGAGTGGCCGATTATTAGCTTTGCTAATATTGTGTACATTCATAGTAAGGTTAAATTTATATATGCTCAGATAATGTAATTTATTTCTTATAACAGGAACTTGATTGGATTAAATTGTAAAAATAAACTATTTACATGACAATAATCTGATTATTTTAAAGGTTCCTCATGTTTCAATGTGAAATTGACTAATTTAGTTTAATAATATTTTCATTTTGTCTAACGGTAGTTGTAAATGAATTTGTAATTTGACATCACTGTAACATATTTTTCATTGGTAATTGAATAAAGTAATAGTTTTGGTTCAAGGTTATTTTTTCCCTTGTGAGCAAGTTGAATGGATCATGTAATTACTTAAATTTTAAACTATAGTCAGGTCTGGCTATTTTCTATATATTTGTATGATTTTGGAAAAGGAGAAGGTAAGGTAAGGGCTAATTTTGGCCTAAAATTTAAAGTACATCTGATGAAAGATTTTTGACATTTTTAAAACACTTAAGTATCTACTTCAGTCGATTCAATTAGTTTATGTAAAAGATAAGAACTGATTTGGTCATTACAGACGCTTAAATTTAAGCTTAGATATGAAAAATCTATCAAATATGCCATAAAACGTCACTTTTCAGATGGTTTTTGTCAAAAATGTAAGTGGCCGCATTGGTGTTCAGTCTCAACCTTTATATATGTTATGCAATATCATCAAATACAACATATATTGAAATATTAAAAGACAGAACACAAATGCGGCCACTTCCATTATAGACAAAAAACGTCTAAATATTAGCACAAATTCTAAAATTGTGAAGATTTCAGTAATTTTGCATGAATTAATGATGCTTGTACCTGACGTATGTGCATTGTACTGTCAAAAACAGCCCATATTTATGTAACAAAAGTATTCTTCTTTCCAATTAATAGCTAAAGTTTATATTTTTAACAAATTTGTAAAAATGCTATATTTTGGGGCCAAAAAGGGGTCTTACAAGGCCTGCTCCTGTTAGAGTATTTTTGCAAGAGGTTGAAACAATTATTGTTCTTTTGTTTTGTGTTTTATTTTGTATTTTTTGTCATTGAATTGCTTAATTCATTTTTTTTTTTGATAAAAGTGTAGATTTATGGTTCAAATAAGAAAATAATTCTATATGAACCTATGATATATTGATTGAAAGCTATTTAAGGGGTTTAAAATAGATTTGGCTTGTTTAATTTTAATAAAATGTTGACAAAATATTTATTTCGACCTGTTGAAAAAATATAAATATTTCAAGAAATTTGAACTACATAATTTACAGCAATAATTTCATTGGATATATAGCAGTTTGACAAACACTAATTTTGATCATTGAGAAGCTTGATTTCTCTTTACCTAGAGTATGTAATGTTCAGCTGATTTTTAAAGAGTTAACTCCCTTGGGTGTTCGGTACCCAAACTCCAAAACAGTGGTAACGTCCTAATGCTACACTACACTACTGATAGTTTAGCAAAGCAACATCACTCCCGTTTCGAAGTTTGTTCTGACTACACGCTTAAGTACATATTGTATAAATACTGTCACCTAACTAATTATTGGGACTTATGCTTAAGTTCAAACTGTATAAATACTGACACCTAACTAATTATTGGGACTTATTAGCAAGTAGATAAATACATTTCAAACTTGGATCTTATTTTATATGAATACACAAACAAAGACAACAACAATGCAAAAAGTAAATTGGTTAGAATTCAGCTAGAAATGTTGTACTGTGACCTATAGTTGTTAACTTCTATGTCATTGGTCTCCTTGGCAATCATAAAACATCTTCTTATTTTATATAGAAAAGGCTAAGCACAAAAAACTTATTTTATATAGAAAAGGCTAAGCACAAAAACTTATTTTTTATATAGAAATGGTTAAGCACAAAAGTTTCCATGAAAATAAGTTGGTTTACTGTGAGTATTCGTTTTAATTTTAGTTCATTTATATGTTTCTGGGTTTAGTGTGATGTCAATTTTCACTGAACTAGTATACATTTTTGTTTAGGGGCCAGCTGAAGCCCGCTTTCGTGTGCAGAATTTTCTCGCTGTGTTGAAGACCCATTGGTGGCCTTGGGCTGTTTTCTGCACTTTGTCGTTGTCTCTTTGGCACATTCCCTGTTTCCATTCTCAATTTTATTTAATTTGTTGATTATATCATCCAGAATTTGTGTTCTTTATAATGCACAGGTGTAGCATCATCCACAAAAAGCAAAAAATTCTGCTCTTATAAGTCCTATGTGCAGCCTGATAATTAAAATTTGTCACATTTTTTCGGGTATGAATCCTGCTACATTCCTGCAGGAATATGCAAATTTATCGCAATATAATAACTCTTTGGTTAAAATAAAATTCCAAGTAGGAAAATATGGACAGATTCCTACATGATTCTGTCTAAGATTCCAGCTGGGATATTTCGTAGAGGTAAGTGTGGCTTCAGTGTAACTTTGAGATGAAGAACAGTAATGAAAGTGTGTAATAATTTTGTGTCCTGAGTTTATACACCATTATAGTATTCCTTCTATATAAAAATAAGGAGATGTGGTATGATTGCCAATGCTGACAACTATCCACCGGAGACCAAGGAGATGTGGTATGATTGCCAATGCTGACAACTATTCACCAGAGACCAAGGAGATGTGGTATGATTGCCAATGCTGACAACTATCCACCAGAGACCAAGGAAATGTGGTATGATTGCCAATGCTGACAACTATCCACCAGAGACCAAGGAAATGTGGTATGATTGCCAATGCTGACAACTATCAACCAGAGACCAAGGAGATGTGGTATGATTGCCAATGCTGACAACTATCAACCAGAGACCAAGGAGATGTGGTATGATTGCCAATGCTGACAACTATCAACCAGAGACCAAGGAAATGTGGTATGATTGCCAATGGTGACAACTATCAACCAGAGACCAAGGAGATGTGGTATGATTGCCAATGCTGACAACTATCAACCAGAGACCAAGGAGATGTGGTATGATTGCCAATGCTGACAACTATACACCAGAGGCCAAGGAGATGTGGTATGATTGCCAATGCTGACAACTATCAACCAGAGACCAAGGAGATGTGGTATGATTGCCAATGCTGACAACTATCCACCAGAGACCAAGGAGATGTGGTATGATTGCCAATGCTGACAACTATTCACCAGAGACCAAGGAAATGTGGTATGATTGCCAATGCTGACAACTATCAACCAGAGACCAAGGAGATGTGGTATGATTGCCAATGCTGACAACTATCAACCAGAGACCAAGGAGATGTGGTATGATTGCCAATGCTGACAACTATACACCAGAGACCAAGGAGATGTGGTATGATTGCCAATGCTGACAACTATCAACCAGAGACCAAATGTAGGGTTCAACCATTCAAGGTATGTCAACACTGAACATTTTAATAAAAATAAGAGATGTTGTATGATTGCCAATGAGACAACTATCCACCAGAGACCAAATGTAGGGTTTAACTGTTCAAGGTATGTCAACACTGAACATGTATATAGATATAAGAAGATGTGGTATGAGTGTCAATGAGACAACTATCCACCAGAGACCAAATGTAGGTTTCAACCGTTCAAGGTATGTCGACACTGAACATGTATGCCTATACCTAAGAAAGCTATAATAGGCCAAAGGCCCCAACTTGACAATGTCATTCAAGTGGAAAGGAAGTGCAGGGTTAAGCCACAGGTATGTTAGAACCAGATATTGAATGTGTATTGCATATTTACATGGATTCCCAATGTTATTTGACAGAAATAAATTGTTAATAAATGTAAAGAAAATGTGCATGTTGTGCAGATACAGTAATTTTGATGCATTGTAGATGTTATCAAAAATTGTGCACTTAAAACAGATACACAATGATTTCTCATTTAATTAGATTTCATCTATAATTAGGATATTAGAATGGACATCATATCTTAACATGACATAATATAACCTATATATAGACTTTTTTTGGTAATGATAATTTTCTTTTGATCTTTGTTGTTACTAATTATAATTAGGAAAGTTCACCAAACATTTTGTTCATAGATCACTTTAAAAATTGTTCCTGTCTGAATCATAGCTGGTGTTGAAAGTAAAATATATATAAAGTTTTAAAACAGCAGTCAGTTCCATGCATGAATGATTTTCAGGAATTCCAATTCCAGTTTGTCACTAATAATGTATGACAATTGTTTGCAACAAATTTTAACTCAGTAAGAAAATTTGTCCATCAACTTCTAGATGCATTTTTTTTTCATTGAGTTGCTGTTTCTTTGATATACAGGTACCTTACATCTCAGTAGATAACATAACAAGCAAAGATTTTCCAGAGAGAGATTATTTGGCAATTGAAAACATGATAGAAGTATATCTTCATCCAAGCATTCTAATTCTTATTTGACCAAGATGACCACTTTTCCTGCTGAAGGTCAATCGATGGTTCTCTCTGGGTACTGTAGCTTCCTTGACCTAATAAAATGGCTGCCATGATTAAGGTAATATAAAGATAGAAGATGGGGTATGATTGCCAATGACACAACTCTCCACCAGAGACTAAATGACGTAGAAGTTAGCAACTATAGGTCATCATACAGCCTTCAACAATGAGCACAACCATTAAACACCAATCAATTAATCTAATGAGACAGATTGATTTGTTTATTTGGTGTTTAACACCACTTTCAACACTTTTGTGCTATTTCGTGACAGTCAGTTTTTATTGGTGGAGGAGGCTGGAGCGCTCCGAGAGAACCACCGACCTTCAGTAGGAAAACCGTAAATCCTAGTAATTTAAGATTGGAGTCAAGCGCACCTGCCACCTGTGGGATTCTAACTCACAACCTCAGTGTTGACAGGCTAGTGATACAGTAGTACGATTACTTAAGACCACTCGGTCTCCTCACCTCCCCTAATGAGACAGACGAGGACCATTATGTAAGAAAGTCACTTGAATTAAAGGCAACTGCAGTAGAAAGAAGTAGAACATTAGTTTATTGTGAACCCAAGCAACCTTATACCTATTTATACATAACATTCTTCAATCTTGTCAAAATTATGTTAATTCTTAGGTGATAAATAAATAAGATGATATAACTTTTGTGATTTTTTTGGTGACTGTTAAAGTTTTTCATATTTTATTACAGCAATTTTGAAAGTGATACATCTTAAAACTTTGAATAACATTCTGGTCATGATAAGGTTGTTATAAAGTTAAACCCTAAAACTCAGTGTAGGGAAAAAAGATTTCAAATTATTTTTAAAGGGGTCCATAGATGATTTTGGTATTACAAGGCACATTTCCTTTCTTTGCCCATTGTACCATCTTTTTCTCAAAAGCTTGATTTTATATGTTTTGAAAGGAGAATCGTGTAAAGGACTGCAAGAATATAAAGAAAAGACAATCTATGGGCAATAAAAAGATAATTTACTGTAAGTTTGGAAATGTTTGTGATGGTTTTATTGTGATAAATGCGATGAGATTTGTATCACTAACATCTAAGATTATGATTGCATTCTTTATTTATAGCTTTCCTGAAAATTGCATTATGGGAGTCATATTTTTATCCATTGATTAATATTATTATTTGAATAATGAATGCAGACAATTGTTTCTTACTTCATAGTATTAATTAAAAAGTCTAAAGACAGAAATCATAAATGTCAAATTAAAAAAAAAAATATGAGAATTAAAAGAGATATTCAGGCATTATTATAAAGAGATTTTAAGTACTCTCTGTAGAGGAGACATAATGTATAATGAGGGTGTCTGTTCAAGAATCACATTTAAAATTTATATAATAAAAAATGAATATAACAAGGTTTGATCTGGAAAGAATAGACCATTTTATCACCAATGTATCCCTCAGCGTAGAGGAAAGAAAAATAATTTTCAAATTATGAAAAATGACAGTAGAAATTGATTACTATGTGCTACTAGGGATTTTATAAATCAGTTTGCAATAATTGTATATGTTGTAACATATATAAATGAGTGGGATATGATCATAAAATGCTTGAAGCAAATTTTTACTCCGTAATTGCTTCAGATGTACTTTGTAATCTTTGACGGATTATCTGGCAAATTAGGAAGGATTGGAATCTAAAATAATGGGAAAAATTCAATGTCAGTTCAAAAATTTCTATGAAAATTGATGTTATTATTTTTTGGTTCAAGGTCTTGTTTTTTTTCTTTTTACAGAAGAAAAAATGAGAACTGTTTCCTGATTAATTGACCGAAGAGTGTAAATGGTGAAAAGTGCATGTAGGGGAGATCATTCTGACATGAGTTAACAGTAGAAAGAAATGGTTTCAACATGAATAACAGTGTCATGGTAAATATTAAAACAAGTGGTTTTTATGCCCCACCTAGGGGCATTATGTTTTTCGGTCTGTGCATCCGTTCGCCCTTCCATCGGTTCGTCCGTCTGTCCCGCTTCAGATTAAAGTTTTTGGTCAAGATAGTTTTTGATGAAATTGAAGTCCAATCAACTTGAAACTTAGTACACATGTTCCCAATGATATGATCTTTCTAATTTTAATGCCAAATTAGAGGTTTTACCCAAATTTCACAGTCAACTGGACACATTCTTGTTTTTATATATAATGCTCTTCTTAAAAAAATAGTATATCAAGTGTTTTTTATATATAATGCTTTGTAAAAAGATTGAATCACAAAGTTGTCACCTTGTCTGTCAATCTGTCGATCTGTCTGCTTTTGGTCAGACACAAATGCTCTCTGGATGAAATCTTGAGTTCCCCTTGTTCAAATGAATTGAAACTTATATCACTGTAATATATGGGGACTGGGAAGAAGCCTGATGATTTTTGGGTCAATATGTCAATTTTCAAGATAGCTGTTACTTAAGATAGATGAAAGATTGCGGGAATGGGAGAAACCGTATCAATAACTAGGTCCACAGTCAAGCTGCTGAAAATTGGCTGAAAATATAGAAATATGAGGTGCAATTTCTTTTTTCTGCGAATAACGGGTGATTATATGAGGTACATATGAGGGATTTTTATAAAACTTCATAAAATGGTACACGAGGAAATAAGCTTGTTGATTTTGAGGTCAATTAATGAAAGATTATGTGTTTGACCCAAGGAAAAGGACCGAAATTATAAATCATTCCTAAGAAATATCACAATATGGTTGCTCTCATCCAATGATATAGCAAGATTTTTGTCAGAACATGATTTAAATATTTTGTTTATAGTTTTGTCAAGTAGGTTACTATTCAAAATTCCAAAGCAGATGATTTTCTAAAGGGAAGTTTTCTGTACTATTAGGTAAAATTTTATCTTATGTTTCCCAGTTCAATTATGTATGTTTAAACTAATTTAATAAACTTTCAAATGAATAGATTCATAAATAAACCATCAGCTAAAACAATATTTCAACTAAATGCTGTAAATATTATTGACCTTTGTTCTTTTAATTTTTACAGGACTAACTACAACATGTACTTTTTTACATCGCGATGACCTTGAGGTCATCCCGATGTATTGCTATCGCCTAGATTTCCATTATGTAAATTAGTTTTGGGTTTGTAACCGATCTATAAACATGATAAATATGCGCACATAAACGAATGCAAAATAACATTCCTTATCGTTTGATATAAATACATCTCTTCAATGAATACTGATAAAAATATTTTTGTTTACAACATAAATTAATAATATGAAAATGTTTTGTAGTTAGATATATATATATATAAGTAAAAAATCATTGATAATATCAATGCACACGTACCGAAAAATTGTGTTAAAGCATGCGGGAGAATATCTCAAAGAACGTTTTGAAGGACCGGTAACTCTGTAATTGTTTTTGCGGGAAAATATGAATGCCTACTCGTATCCAATCTTAGAAAAATCGAATTATTACAGAAAAGTGTCCACCATGCACTTGCATTGCACTATTATTAGAATAGTAGAATAGAATGATATACAAATGGATGCAAATCATATATGTATGTAACTGTTATTTTAATATAATATATAACAACAAATCAGTGTATACTGATTTGTATCACTACAATATAATACATGTAGTTATTACGGTGAAGATGAATTTCCTGTCATTTATTCATCATCCACGCACGAACTTGTCTCAGAAAAAAATATATCTCTGCACATTTACCTCAGTTTCAGGTAAAGAGATATGTTGTTTTTTTTCTGAGACAAGTGCTTTTGACCATCCTCAAGAACTTGTGGTCATCCGATGTTCAGTACTTCAGTACTTTGATTTATTACTTTGTTCTTATGTTGTACTGTTGCACCACTATCCATGTAAGGGGAGGGTTTGGCACCACCAAACTAGTATAATCCCACCACATTATGTGCCTGTCCCAAGTCAGGAGCCTCTAATTCAGTGGTTGTCATTTGTTGCCATAGAGGAGATAACACTTAAGATTGCAAAATAGGGGATACTTAGCTGCAAAAAAAGGATACTTTTTTAAATAGCAAAAGTGGGATAATTTTTTAGACTGCCAAAAAAAAAAAGAGATACATTTTTAGAAAGCAAGAAAAGAGATAACTGCTTAGATGAAAAAAAAATAATGGATTAATAATTTAGTCAAATTAAAATGATTATTTTTATGCAGAGTTATGGTCCTTGGACTTCGAAAATTCACTCAAATAATCAGTTTTCCACACTTTTTTTCGTCATGCTTGAAGATATTGATTTGATATTTGTTATATAGTTTAAACAAGTTATAGATCAAGTTCAAATTTTGTTCCGTTTTGATGATTTTTTTTGTAAAGTTATGGTCCTTGGACTTAGAAAATACACACAAGTAATCAGTTTTCCACACTTTTTATGTCATTTTCTTCCAGTACAATGAATTTTTAGCCAGTAGAGGACTGACATTGCCATGCAATACTCTTTAAAAGCTTGTTTAACATAACAGTAGTTTACATGTACTTTAAATTATGGTTTCATATTTTAACACGTCAATGCAAACAATTGAATTTCAGTCATACTACAGCGCTTTTTTTCACGGTTACAACAGCAATCTACCGAATATTTAATATTAACTTGTCACCATTGATTTTATCTACCTACCCCAAGGAAAGGCAGATAATTTTAATTTTATTTACTAACATGCTTTATCCTACGGCAAAGTTTTTTTTCCACAAATATGATTTCACACATGTGGCTGGACATTTTAATTTTGTAAATATTTATTTTTCCCACCAGTTAAAGGTCAGAATCGTGATCATAAATGGTAATGCTTTCTCGTCATAAGTTCTTGTTTACTGTTTAAATGAAATTGTATATTATTATTTTCATTAAAAGACTACCCCTTTAAAAAGTTCATATATACCCTTCAGTGATTTTAAATTTATGTTAGCCTTGGATTATTAATTATCTATTTAAATGTCAAAGTTAAAAGGGTCATATTTGAAAATAACATATTTGTTTGAATGTTCATTTCTGACTGGAGGCAAAATCTGCCTCTTGTTCATTTCAAATTTCAAGTAATTAAATTTTATCATCCTTTATTTTTTTGACATTCGTTTACAAACACTTTAAATGTAAAGTTGAAAAACCAAGCACATTCTAAATTTGTAGGCTTTTAAGAAAACTTTGCAATCATAGCCCAACATGGCAAATTAAACAGGAATTTAGCAGTAGTGTACCCTTTACATTATGTAAAAAATTGTGCATGTCATATATTTAACATTGAAGTAGAATTACCAAAACATACAGATAGATGCAAAGTACAGTACACCAAGAACATGTGTACTGACAAATGTACAAAATGATGCTCTTACTACTAACTATACAAGCAAAGATCTGCGTAATTAAAAGCATAGACGAAAGAGCCCCCCCAAAAAAACTTAGAAACAAGCACAAAAAGAGCTCAGACAAAAAGATACTATTATAGATGAAAAGCACAGATAAGAACATAGACAAAAAGCAAAGATAAGTGCATAAATGAGAGCAAATACAAAAAGTAAAGATAAGAAAATAGACAATAAAAATCACAGATAAGACATACACAAAAAACACAGATAAGAACATGGACAAAAGGCAAAGATAAGAACATAGACAAAAAGCACAGATAAGAACATAGACAAAAAGAGCACAGAGATAAGTTAAGAGCATGGACAAAAGCACAGATAGGAACATAGTCAAAAAGCACAGATAAGAACATAGTCAAAAAGCACAGATAAGAACATAGACATAAAACACAGATAAGAACATAGACAAAAAGCACAGATAAGAACATAGACATAAAACACAGATAAGAACATAGACAAAAAGCACAGATAAGAACATAGACAAAGATAAGAACATAGACAAAAAGCACAGATAAGAACATAAACAAAAAGAGCACAGAAATAAGATAAGAGCATGGACAAAAGCACAGATAGGAACATAGTCAAAAAGCACAAATAAGAGCATATCATAGATAAGAACAGACAAAAGGCACAGATAAGAGCATAGACATAAAACACAGGCAAGAGCATAGACAAAAAGCACAGATGAAAGCATAGACATAAAGCACAGATAAGAACATAGACCAAAAGCACAGATTATAGCATATCATAGATAAGAACATGGAGAAAAGGCACTGAAAAGTAGCTCAGCATAATAGAAATAAGTAATTGGCATGCAAAAATTAAATTAACCAGAAAAGAAAGCAAATCAGGATAAAAAAAATAATTTAGCAAGATTTCCATATGTATTCCTTGACATTAAGTAAAAACATGTATCCTGTATACTGCATGTTTTTCATGAGAGAGAGGCGAAAGATACCAAAGGGACATTCAAACTCATATGTCAAAAATAAACTGACAATGCCATGGCTTAGAAAAGAAAAAGACAAACAGACAAACAACAGTACACAAAACACAACATAGTAACACTATAGATTTCATTCAAGTTATTTAATGATGGACAGACACAAAAGCTGGTGTGGTAAAATTTTGGGTCCCTTATGGTCACCATATAGAGCCTCACATATTCAGGTATAATGTGGATTCATTTATTTTTGTGGATACCAATTTTCGTGGATTGTGGAAAAAACATAGTTTTTGTGGATATTTGATTTTATTGTTTTGTCAAAATCTACATACAAACTTATAATAATTTTGTACTTCGTTGAACATTTAATTTCGTTGTTTCCCTATACCCACGAAATCCACGATATATCTTTGTATTTCGTTTTTGGCAGTTTTCCAAAAGAGGATTAATCCAGAAAAAAGCACTTCACATTTCATTTCATGCACTGTCCTGGAAATAGACTATATTTTCATTAAAAAATCAAATCAACAAGTTGATTTATAAACATGGCCTAAAGTGTTATTTAATCAGATGAAC